CTCATACAAATTTTTGTTTGAAACTTCTTAAATTCATACTGACTCACAATTTCTTTATCTTTAAGAATAAATTCTACCACCAGGTGAGGGGTAATGCGATGGGGACGGCTTGTGCCCCTTCATACGCCAACCTCCACCTGGGTTGGTGGGAGGAAAACCTTATTTAATCTAAAGATATTGCCAAGTACCTCCCTTCCATTTTCTTATGGCGTCGCTATATTGACGACGTCCTATTAATTTGGCAAGGAAATAAGGAAGATTTTTTTGAGTTCGTTAAGATTCTTAATGTCAATGATGAAAACTTAAGATTCACGTGCGAGTTTGGGGGACAAAGCCTTAACTTCCTCGACTTAAAGATCTCCATTACAGACCATAACACCACATGATACAAGAAACAATCAGCGTCTAATAATCTCCTAAAATGGGATAGTTTTCATCCTAAACCACTCAGAAGAGGTATTCCTATAGGTCAATACCTCAGAGTTAGACGCAACTGTAGCTCTATCGAGGAATTTAATCAAAAAGCAAAAATCCTTCGAACAGACTTTAGGGAAAAAGGGTACCCTAATAGATACCTAAAACAGGCCTACCAGCGAGCAATAGCATCTGACCGGTGTACCCTGCTAGATGAATCCAATAGTACCACACAAAAGGATTCAAAGATTATTTGACTCATAGGTACCTATGATGCAGGCTGGAATAAGGTAAAAGAGTCCCTCCAACGTTTCTGGCCATTACTTACCGGCGATGAACATCTAAAAGAGAGACTAACCCCTAATGCAGCTATTACAGCACATAGGGGGAGAAACTTACCCAATATTCTGTCCCCTAGTCACTTACAACTGAAACAACCTACTACATGGCTTCAGAGCCCTGTAACGGGTAGTTTCGGATGTGGTAGATGTGTCACCTGCAAATATATTAAAAAAGACTAAAAAAAAGTGAAAGACAGTGAGGATATAGAGGAGTTTACAATCACGTCTTTCTTCAACTGCAATACTAGCGGTTTGGTATATCTACTCACTTGTCAGTGCAACCTAAAATACGTCGGCAAGACCTTTAGGCCTTTTAAGAAACGGATTCAGGAACATGTAAGATCTCCAAAAAATCCAATGTATACCCCTATCTCTAGACATCTAAGGGAATGTCACGATGGTGACCCTAAAGGACTACGTTTTTGTGGTCTGGAACTTGTGAAAAAAAGTGCTAGAAGAGGCGACTATGATAAATTCTTAAGACAAAGGGAATCCTTCTGGATTTATAGATTAAAAACTTTGAGCCCTAGGGGACTCAACGAAGGATTCTCCTTTTCGCCCCTTCCTGTAAGAACATTTAAACTCAGACTTACTAAGTCAATTATAATTAAAAATAAAAAATAAATATAAAAAACTATATCTGTTCCCATATATTAAATGTAAGACCCTTTTGTCCCATACAACTAACGGGACAAGGTCAAGCTTATCTTCAAACTCTAAAGATTTTTAGTAAGAACTATTTACATTTTTGTATACTACAATACAGACCTTTTGTCTATTTTTTCTGTTGTCCAACTGAGAAAGGTAAAACCTCCTCATCTATATACATATATATACTTTCTATCATGATGAGGATGGGATGTCGAATAGGATATTATAACTTTTAATACAAAAAATTAGCCCCATATTGATACATAGTATACATATATCATAATATTTTAATTGAGTTTATATTTGATATAATATTTCCAGCTTTACCATAATTAAGGTTTTTTCCAGATTCCTAGGGCATATATAGTTATACAGCGCGGTAATAAATGTCTTTTTGACACCCATTACCAGAATTTCTCTTTATATTGGTTAGTCTGTATTGAGTAAATATACTGCTACATATTGAGTAAATATACTGTTACATTTTCTGTATATATCTTTTACAATGTATCAAAATGTTCCAGTAATGTCAGATACAGGAAAACATTTGTATTCCCCTCTATCTGGCAAACTTGAACGGCCAATTGTTTTCCGCTCGCGTACTTAGCCCGACGAGCCACCGTCTGGGTGAAGTCATTTCTAAATTACGTATCTACTGGAGGCGTGTCTTTCCCTCCCTTTAAAAGGCAGGCTGGCTACCTGGCAGTATTCACTCTCGAAAAAGGCTCCTGAGAGCTCCGAAACGTGCGTCGAGTCCTGACGCTTCTTTTATATGGGGCAGCTCTTTCTAGACAATTGTTTCATGTGGCTTTGTAGCTAGAATGTGGGAATCCTTTTAGATAGGTAGCCTAGTCTATACCCTACGTCTCTGAATAGCTCCATCAGGGACTTCAGATATTAGGTTTTTGTATATACTACTCTTTTTCCGCTATTACTATATCGATATATTTCTGATCTAAATAGCAATTAGGGAAGAGTCCTCCTTTTTACAATTTTTCTTCTAGTTGAACCATTATAGACCTTCTACTTTATTATATATTTGGATACAATTTGGTTTCACTAAGGGATACATAGACTACACTAGAGACTTTTCTCATGAGTTAACAGCATTATATTAAAGGGCACTGTATACCTTGAGGGAATGATATCAATTTCGCTCTACTAAATAAGCTGTATCTCATTTGGGACATTGACCCCGAGCCCATACCTCACAGTCTCTAGCGAACCTTGAGCAGTTGATATATCTAGCTGTATATAAGATACTACGATTCCGTCTTGCTATATGTATAGAAGATATTAAGATTTTTCTTTTCTTTATATCTTTCTATGTTCTACCTATAATCCCTAGGTGGATGTGACATGAACAGTGTTTTACTGATACTACTTAGTTGATATACTAAATGAGCTACCCCCCCCTCCCCCTTTTTTAAATCACCCACACACTTTTGTTTTATTTATACAATTTTTGGATATTGGTGCTAAGGAGTCTATATAACTCGAACATATACAATTTAATAAAGATTGTTCTTTTTACTTCTTTTTCTACTCTATTCTTACTTATATTCCTATCACTTATCTCAGATCCTATGAGTTAATACTATCTTTGTGGGTATACCTCTGAGGGTTTTTTGAGAGGAAGGGCTTTATGCCTTCTACCCTCTTGACTACCCCTCTTTTCTAGCTTCAAATATCTGTTTGCTGCTATGTAATGGTATTTTAGCAGCTACTCTCTTGATCCGATGTATGGATCTGGCAGAAATCTTCCTCAATGTGCCTTTATCTGCACTAACCCGTCTGTGCTCTGAATCAGCCACAAATCTCTCAATAGTGCGATGATCACGCTTAAATTTTCATGAAATATCTAATATTTTCATACCTTGTCCAAGGCATTGAACTATTTCACTCTTTTCGGCAGCAGAGAATTTCTTCCCCATATTGCATGAAAATGGTGCTCTGCTTAATAATGTGGAACACCCTCCTTTAGTAGTTTTTCCTTAAATTGGGCTCACCTGGCAATCTAATTATAACAGGTGTCTGAGATTGTTTTCAGTGATCAAAAGAGCCCTGAGACACAATGCCATCCATGAGTTAAACTGAAAAACAGAAATATTTAATCTTTGTGACATGTAAATAGAATTTACATAATAGTTTGGAACAGGGTGTAAGTTTGACCTTAATGTCTGAGGTGGGGTCTTTATCAAGTTTGTGTCATCAAGTTGTCTATAAGCTTCATTTTCGTAAAGTTCTCTAGACAAGATAACCAGACCACCGCCTTTGCTGCCGGCTTAATTACAATGGTTTTATCATTTTGTAATGCTTTTATTGCTTCTCTTTCTTTTCTATTTAGATTAAAATTGTTAATTTTCTTATTATTATTTCTTATTATTAGTGTCTTAATATCATTACTTATTTTTTTTTCAAAAGTTTCTACTGCACTAGACTTACAATGGGAAGGATAAAAGGTGGATTTTTTTTTTTAAAACTCCTTTTAAAATCAATTTTATAACATGACAGTAGGCTTCATATTTGCTTAAGTCTCCCTTTACTAGAACTCCACAGCAGCACATCAACACAGAGAAAAACAACCAATCAGAAAAAAAGTTAGCTGCAGTAAAGCTCCCCTCCCCACACTTTCATAACAACGCCGGTTAGTTTTTTTGTTACCTTACAGCTTAGGTCAGTACACAATACTGACTTCATTATTAGAGGGTGTGCCCCCATCAAACCTCAGCCCAATGCTGATAGACTGCTTCATATCAGTTTCTCGTTTACCCTACAGTTTATGTCAATACATGATTCTGATTTTTCATTAGTAGAGGGCGAGCCCATCTCATTCTCTCAGCCCTACACTGATATGGATGCTAATTACATTATTAGAGAGTGAGCAGTATTGATATTTATTCTGCCTCCTTTCAGTTCTCTGTTTCGACTACAATCTATTACAGTATATATTACCGATTTCTTTATTGGAGGGTGAGCCCCCTTCCCACTCACAGTACAATATGGATAGTTTTCTGCTTCCTGACTGGTTATTTGTTTTGTTACGGTTTATCAAAGTACATATTACTGGATGTATCACCTCTGATGAAGACCGCCTCATATTAACTGGGAAGTTGGGGGCGAGCCCTTACATTACATATTACAGGTCCTGTTGGAGGAATCAGAAGATTCCGATGCCTCCAAATACAGACATACACAATCCCGCAAGTCCTACTGGACGGGGGAAGAGCCACTACTCCAAGTCAGAAAAGACCAGAGTCGGTTCCTACCTTGTATCTATTTGGGATACATGAGGATGAGGATAGCTGACAAGGTTCGGAGGTGGAGGATGCTCCCTTTGTACACAAATCGTTCACGAAAGCGTCCCTTGATTTCTCCTGTGCAACCACCTACGTCAGGTCTAAATGGCGACATCTGCTTGGATTCAATGGGGGAAACCTCTCTTTGACCCGCATTCAATTCGTCACCCTAAGTCACCCGATAGCTGGTTCCCGATCATTTGGCCCAGTATGCACATTTCTGGACTCATAGACAAGGAAGTGCATACACGATTAAGACAGAATGCCCAGACCATCTCTTCCTGATAAGGTCGCAATGACCCCAAAGTGCAACATAGGGACATCCACATACTTCGCAAGATCAGGACCTGACCCTCGCAGGGGTATTGATCGCAGCCTGAGACTGGCTCAAATCAAGTTTTTCTACGTTCTCGAAACCCTGGCGAATTTCCTGCTTCTAGCAGATGAAGCCTGTACGCAAAGCTGCCCTCTTGGTCCATCTTTATTAAGACTGTTCGTATACCAGGTCTTCACAATCTTCCAGGGAAAGTTGACCCACGCCCAGTCCCAGGTGGTGACGTTATGGGGTTCAGGAGAGACACGCCCTTGGGAGTGCTTCATCGGCCACCGTCATAAATATTCCACAATTTGCATGGTTAGCCAGAGAATTCTTTGGCGCGACCAGAGTCCCCTCTGCACGCTAGCCTGCGGAGTAGACCTATTTTCAGATGATACCACTCACCTCAGAGGTCAATGGGGAATGGTAAGACTTTTATTCTTTTCTGCCCCAGACTTGGTCGTGGTTCCAAACACAAGTCTTGACATTGGGGAACTGCTTGCGCGACCACATCGCCTGATAGCCCTTGGATGCTCGAAAGCCGACTTCCACATCGTGGTCCAAAACGGACCTTTGAGGTTTTATATTTCCCCCAGACTCCTGTGATTTGTGGACACTTGTAACCTCATGTTTATTTTTTTATTTTTATAATTCTTAGTTTTTGTTATGCATGGTTTTATCAGCCAGGTTTACTATGCCCCAACAGCATTAGCAAATATGAGTAAACTGAGTACATCACAATACAAGGCATATATGTGAAACTGCACAATTTAAGAATTGGTTAAACAAACATGTTAGAAGTCAGGTGTGTTAGGTGAGTCGGTAAATATAGGAGTAGTGTGGTCCTGTATAGATGACTTATAGGGAATAAGCATCTTCACTGGAAAGGATTTAGTTAAAAAAAGGAGGTTGGCCCGGTTGGGCTGTTTGGGAAGATTTTGGTCGGTCCTGTGTTAAGGCACATGTGAGTTCCACTAGAGCCAAATTCTCCTAAGGAGACAAAGACCCCTAACTTCTGGGTAACTGGGGGGAGGGCAGCAGGAAGGGTTGTTAGTAAATTTAGGCTAATGCATCCACATTAAGCTTGTGTGTGTTGTGAGTGATATTGGGGGTATCAGGTGCGTCTGTGGCCAGTAGATTAATTAAGGAGCAGGTAAAAACATTAAAAAACTAGGTAACTGTAAAAATATAAGCGGTTGTCATTGATGTGAAATAAAAATGTAAACTTAAATAAAAGAGCCAACTGGGTTAGTAAGGTGGTCAAGCATTGAGGTCACAAAGTCCCCAGCTCTTCCAGGAACAATCAAAGCGATCCATGAGACATTCCAAACATGGTTTGTGGGTGGAGATCGTTGTGTTTTAGAAAGGCCCAAGGCTTGCAGGATGTTCAGGCCCTCCCATTGCCCTAATGCTTTGTGAGTAGCACCATCTTTAGGGTAGGTCCACCGATATGCATCCAGCCTTCTGCAGGGTCTGAGTGTAGGTCGCATGAATTTTTGCCACAGTGAAGCTATGCTCAGATCCTGGAAAACTTTGAAGGTATTATTCTCGAATAGAAGCGGGGTTTTGCCCTGTAGAGCATGTAGTAGCCGTTTTTTGTTAGTGAAGTTCTGACAGCAAAGGATGACGTCCCGTGGGACTTTAAATGGTGCCTGGGAGGATGTTGAGATGTGGTACAGGCCATCACATGTGAACTGCTTGGAGAGCTTTGAAGGCAAAACAGAAGATAGGAGCCTCCTGAGAAGGTGAGGTAGCTCATCTGCAGGACCAGAGTCTGCCACTCTGTGGATTTTAATATTTTCTGTCGCCCCTTGTTTTCTAGTGTCTCCATTCTGATGGCAAGCTGAGAGTGTAGTTTTTGCAGTTGCAGCATGAATTCTCCCTGTGTGGTCATACCCTGCTTCACCTCTGTGTTGTCTTCTTCAGTAGCTTGGAGTCTGTCAGTCACGGCCTGTACCTCAGTTTTTACCATATTTAATTCAGCTGAGAACATGTAACTGAAGTGTTCCAATAGGTCATGTATGTCCTGTTTTGTTACCGATGCCTCGGCTCTGGGTAAGGCTGTGGCAGCCTCTTTGGATGCTTCCTCTGTAGGTGGATTATGTGCTGGCTAAGGCCGCGGAGGGGTAATCCCTTGGGATCGAGAGGTGGAGGCCAGCATCTGGTTTATGTCCTGATTGTTGCTAGCCTGGTCCAGAGCCAGTTTCTGTGACTTGCGTCTCATAATTGTTCCCAGCCGGGTTGCAGAGTAGGATAGGGGAGATAAGGCTGTGTCAGAGCCGTCACATGCCCAGAGCTCAGCACTGGCTAACCACAGGAATCCCATGTTGTAGGCCCGAGGTCTTCGGCGCCATGTTTTCACACCCACTGTGAACTGGAATGGCATCCACCAAATCGGTGCAGGGTTCTGCATATAAAAGTAGTGTGATTGTCACATGCCCAGGTTTCCAGCAACCTACAAACTACAGGAATCCTGCCACAGGCTGCCCCAGGCCCTTAGCATTTTTGCCACCCACCGAACTGGAGTCTGGCATCCCTGCCCTGTACATAAAAGTAGTGTGATTGTTCCTTACAACAAAAATGTTTGTTCTTTTAGTTTTGGGTACATGGAACTGAGTGTTTTGTGTTTGCTCTGAATGCTGCTAGCTACGCCCCTATTTCATTTTATTTTTATTGTTTGGTTTTACTTTTCTGCCACATGTATTAAGATTGTCTGGCTGTTATTAGATATATTGCGAAAGCAAGAGTAGCATCAAGTGTTACCTCATGCTCGCCTGCAGTTTTCCGGGTTTACTCTTCTCCCAAGTGTTTTTGGCTACTTATAAATGAAGGAAATTGGTTTCATTAGGTTCGGGCCATATTTTCATTAAATTTCTAAATACAATTATTCTTGATGTGCATGGGCAGGAGGCATGGGATGTGACATCACTTTTATTCTCCTAGCCTGTCCTGCAGCAGTGAGTGAAAAAGGAAGAGGAGTCTCAGGTGAGATACCAGTGGCATGCTTCCTTCCCACAATCCCCTGAGCACTGCACACCCCTCAAGATCTCTCTCCTGCCTCCCTTACAGTCCCTCCCTCCTGCACAGGATCCCTCTCTCCCTGCACAGCCCACCTCCCCCAAAAATAGATTCCCTATCCCCTGCCTCCCCCAGCACATATATGCCCTCCCTCTCAGCCCCCAGCACAGATGCCATCTCACCCCCACAAACCCTCCCTCTCCTCCTCCCCCACTGCACAAATCCCTCTCCCTGCTCTGCACCTGACAAGCCCCACCTACCCCCTTTCTATATACATGTACCCTCCCCCCACCTCCCAAACATATCCCTCCCTGCACAGATCCCTTTCTCCCTCCCTCCTGCACAGAGATCCCTTCTCCCTCCCTCCCCCTGCACAGACTTCCTTTCCTCCCTCCCCTGCACAGATCCCTTCCCTCCCCTGCACAGATACCCTATCTCCCCTGCTCAGATCCCCTCTCCCCCTCCCTCCCCTGCACAGATGCCCTCTCCTCTGGCACAAATCCCCTCCCTCGCATGCACAGATCCCCCTGCCTCCCCTGCACAGATCCCCTCTCTCCCCTGCACAGATTCCCTCTCCACACATCCCATCCTGACGTATATATATTTTTAAATGTGTATAAAAAAGGTAATTCAATAAGCATGTTTCCTTTCACAGTAATAAAAAGTTAAATATACTGAAGCACTTCAGTAACGGCAACTCACCCCCATAAAATAACTGTTTAGTAGATAAGCCCTCAATAATTTACATGCATGCATTTTTCATGCATGTAATAATTGAGTGTATATCTTAAAAAAGCTTGAAAATTGTTATTTTGTTGGGCTTGAGGCGTTGAGCACTTAAAAGAGGTATGTCTGGTGCAGCCACGGACATCAGTGACTGCACCGGACATGACGTGGGTCGAGATAGGGGCGGCAAACTCAGGGGAAGCCCCGAGCGGAAAAAGCACTAGCTAGGCCACTGCATGGGTGTACTGTTTTGAACACAAAAAAGATTGGACATAACCCAATTTTGAATAGAGTTGTTGTGTACGTTCGCAAACGGTAGGCCATAATTGGGGGTTAATTCTCATTCCTTGACTGTCGTAAGGTCTCAAAGGCAACATAGGCCCAGTGAACATGTTTGACATTTCAATGTGCAAAAACTCTTCCTTTGACTCTGTATCTCTCCAAAACACAATGCAACCTGTACATGGGGAGTGTGGGACATCACAGCATACAAATATTTGTGCCTTATTGCAGTAAAAGCTAACATTAGAAAATTCACAGTTAATATGCCATGCAGAAGTTGGAAAATAACATTTCTTAAATTATGGTTGAACAGACATAGCTCAAATTCTAAGGTTCTGTTTTTTTTCGGTCAAAATGTGTACAATTACCTCCATCTGTAAGGGGTTAACAATGAAATACACCATGAAATTCTTTTTTTCATTTCCAGATTAAATTCTATTTTAGTTGAATGCTGGGTTTTAATAGTTTTGATGCTGATAAAAGAAATACACAAAGCAATGCCTGAAGGCTCCAGGAAATAATCAGAAATGTCAAACAATTATATAGTATTATGAAAGCATTACCAATAGCAATAAAATGTAACTTTGCTTAGCAATAAACACAATATACAAATCAATATATATATATATATATATATATATAGATATATATATATATATATTGTTAAAATGAAAAGCACTGCATTAATCATAATGGTTTACACAATTAAAGTGGTATTATCCATTTATAATAAACACTTTGTTTTTGGAAATGTATGCATAATCATCAAATTACCTGGAAACATATAAAACCATTAAAATGATGCCAATTTAATTGCATGGTAAAAAAACACATTTCTAAACTTTTAAGGGAATTCATAAATTAGTGTAATGAGCATGTATTGCTTTGCTGCTAAACTGTAAGCTGTTGTAAAGTATAGCCCAAAAGGTATTGCAAATTCGATAGAGATGCAGCACAGCTTCAATTACAGTGATTAATGTTCACAATACTTTTATTAAGGAAGTTCATGGAAAAGTGTTGCTATGAAAAGTTCACTGATGTCTTTCATGTGTATATAAATCATGCCCTTTAGCTTCTGCAAATCACTTAAATCCTGTGCTTAAACCTTCTTATATTCCATGTAATTTCTGTGGTGTATATTCTCAAAACCAAATAAAAGGATTATTATCCCTGCATCTCTTCTGACATGAATCAACTATGTATCAGCTCACTTTATATAGTAACTTCAACAAAAGCAAAGTTTATAGTAAAATGTATGTTAATATATGTAACTTTCAGGGGGTGGGGGGGATCTGGATGTTACATAAATGAGTACTTTAAACAATATAGTATATACATTGAGCCTATGTTGCCACTTTAACTAGAGTGTCCTGGGGCTGTCATCTGGTTTAATGTCATACCATTTAATTAATACCAAAGGACTGCCCCCATCATCTCCTTATTAATAATGTGAAATTAACACTTCAACTTCATCAGTATTAATCATCCAATGCGGACAGCATTTATACCTGAGAGTGCTTGAGGCATTACATTATTTTTAACCATTTGGTTAATTGCCAGGCCTCCCCCTTAAATAGTAGACTAGTGAAAGGTGTGTTTTTCTTCTGTTCGATCAAACAATTTATCTCAAATGAGAAATTTTGTTTGGGCATCTGACACTCATCCATGTAACGGTTCACCTTCGCCAAACTTTGCTCATAATTTGTTTCCCCAAATAAGTTAAAAAAAGGTGCATATTAGTATGCTACAATGCAAAAATACTTTCAAAATCCCAATGGCTAGGCAATATTAGGCATTTATTTACTAGCCACAAGGAGCAACCACTCACTGATATTCACCCACAGGAACATGCACAAACTGACACAAGCATTTACTGACACAAGCACACAATGACACAAGCACTCACTGGCAAAAGTACTCACTGACACACACAGGCACAAGCACTCAATGACATACACAAACTGACACCAGCTGTTAATGTTATACTGACACTCAGGGCAGAACTGGGGAAATGCCAGGGTATTCTTTAAAACAGTGGCCCACTGAGAATGGGGTGGGGACAGATAGGAGTGTGTTTTGTCATCACTAATGACAAGCATGCCCCCTCTCAAAGTGAATATATTGGATCAAAGCTCTTCCAGGGCAGCCTATACACAGAGCCTTCCTGAAGAGCTCTTGTATGAGAAAAAGGCCCTGCATTTGTTCTGCACAGCGCAAGCAATGCGCTGTGTTTGTTTGTGACTTGTCTCTGTTGTCTCCATAAGCAGGATGCCAGAGGACAAAATGGATAGAAAAGCGTATTGTTCATGTGTTTGGAGGCTGCTTGTGGGATTGTGTGTGTGTAGAGTTTCAGTTGCGTTATGTTTGTGGTGTAATGTGTGTGGCTAGGCCTGTAGAGAGTGAGAAAGTGTGTGTGTGTGTGTGTGTGTGTGTGTGTGTGTGTGTGTACAGAGGGCATAATGTGTATAGGGGATGTAGCAAGAGTGTACATAGAGGCTGTAGTGTATGTGTGTATAGATGATGTAGTGTGTGTGGGGGTTGTAAAGTATGTGGGTTTAGGGAATGTAGTGTTTGCTTTCAGGGCATCTAATGTGGGCATAGGTGATTCAGAATGTTTATGTCAGGAATCTAGGGTGTGTAGGGGATCTAGTGTGTATGCATGGATGGCCCAGACTGTTTATAGGATATTTAGTGTGTGTGTATAGATGATTCAGAGAGTGTGTGTATGTAGACGATCAAGAGTTGTGTAGTGTGTGTGTCTGAAATGTAATGTGTGTGAGGGGTGCAGTGCATGTGAAGAATGTAATGTACGTGTAAGGGGTGCAGTGTGTGTGAGGGGTGCAATTTATGTGTGAAGGGTGCAGTGTGTGTGTGAAGGGTGCAGTGTGTGTATGTGATAGGTGCAGTGTGGCAGTGCTTGTGTGAAGGGTGAGGTGTGTGTGTGTG